GGGGGTCAGATTCAAAATATGTACATTCCACGTGTACTGTACCACGTGTACCATTACAAGTGCCAAAAACAGTCAGGACTTCCTCCTGTGCCACATAATACAAAAAAATATTTTATTCAATTAATAATCATTACAGAGGGCCAGTAGAAAATGTAATAGTTTGCTGGCTGAAACAAGAGAAACAAATCTTTTTCCATCCTCAGTGAGGGTTTAGTAAAAAAAAAATGTCTGAATGCTGAGTTTCAGAAGTTACAGTCATTATCAAGAGCAAGAATATTTTGCCCAAGACAGTCATTCCAAAATATTTTTACATCAGCATGTGCCAAAAGTGGTTTTAGGAGCAGTAGATTAGTGGTAAACACGATGTGTTTTAGACTGCAACTAGACCGTCTCAGCAACTGGATAAGAAAGCACTCTTAGCCAAAGAGCTGATTAACCCATAGATTATTCATGGGGCTGCACAGTCAACTGTTGTCAGGTTTCTCTACTCCAACAGCAATTGCCCACAAAAATGTCTGGTGGATACACCACTTGATTTGTCTAAGTTTTACCACCAGCCATTTCCTGAGCTATATCCTACTAAGTAATGATCTCAGTTGTTGAAGTTGCAGAAACAATGCAGCACTTTCTGGTCTGGAAAAAGGACACGAGGCAAAGGTGGTCTTTATATGTGCCTGAGTATGGCACCCACATGAGAGCAGTTTGACTTGTGCTCCTGCCTGATTAAGAATTCTGTGAATTGTTTGCTGTTGTTTTCTTAAAAATGTTCTATGGATTAGTGTGTTGAATCTGTGTACTTTCAGTATTTGTTATGGACAGCTATTTTGAAAGTAACGATGAATTCTGGCTTCAGACTAACCTGCGTATGTTCATGGGGGCCACTTCCTCCCAGGTGTTGGTCTTGGGATTGAGCCGCTCTACTGAGTTCAGGCAGCTGGTGCCGTCATTGCCTCCTGCGACATACAGCATGCCTTCCAGCACGGCCACCCCGGCACTGCTGCGTCGACTCAGCATGTTGGCGATGGATGTCCATGTGTTGCTCTGTTCATTAAATCAAGACACTGAGTGATGGTCATCTGTTCATAGAATCAGCCATAGTATACAAGTTTGTCTACCAGGTTTAGCTAATCTCAACCTGGCAACAGGCATACTCCTTGATGATAAAATAAACAGTATACAGTTTACCTGGGGGTCATATTTCTCCACTGTTGCAAGATGTGAGGAGCTGTCATAACCTCCCACTGCATACAAGCTGCCATCTGGAGGGGAAAAGGGAGTAAATGCTCACTATGTAAATATTAGCAGTCAAATACCAAGGTGGCAACTCTCTCTTGATCGCAGAACATAAAAATGTAGAAACATAAATATACAGTAGAACAGTATGTTCATGATATTCTGCTTTCTGCCAAGCTCCTACCTAGAGTTGCTACTCTCACATATCTTCTACGGGTGCTCATAGCAGCAATCGAGGTCCATGTACTGGTCAGAGGGTCGTAACGCTCTGCACTGAATGAGAAAGAAAATATATTTCTCTCTATTTAGGAATCTGTTCTTCTGACCTGGCTAAAAAAAAACAACAGCATCAAAAAAGCCACAAGAAGATACACTAAAATAAAGCTTATCATCAACTTGACAGTATGTGTGTACCTGTTGAGGCAGGAAGCTCCATCATAACCTCCAGCAGCATAGAGCAGGCCATGCAGGACTGCTACACCCAAACAGCTTCGCCGTGTTCCCATGGAAACCTCAGGCTGCCAGGAGTTAGTAATGGGGTCGTAGGATTCCACGGTTGCAAGGTCTGAGGTGCCATCATACCTGAGGATATAAATGGATCAGAAAAGACATTTTGATGATTGAAGTAGCAGCATGTTGCTCTGAATCATCTTTTATATACCGTGCCTGTCAATGAAAAACAGTCCAATTAAATAGACATTTTGAATAGAGATATAACCTCAACAGCTTCTCAGAAGCACAGGGATAAAGTGACATTTTACTTATAAATCCATCCTGTTCTGCTTGGCAAAGCTTCACCTTTACAAAAGTCAGGCTTAGTTCACATAACACAATGTAAAGTTTGAGTAAGAGATTAGATAGTGGATCGACTAGTTTTGAGGTAAAGGTCAACACTGTGGTTCTCATCACTCACCCTCCAACAGCATAGAGTCTGTTGCCAATGGCTCGCACCCCGCCGAGTGGACATGGATGCCACCATGTGCCAGCGGTCTGTCCTGGTGTCATAGGCCTCGCAATCTCCATGGATGGCAAACAGGCTGCCACCACCTGGGACACGCAAACAGACAATATGGTTATGAGTTAACATCAAGGAGTAATGTAAAACATAAAAAATATATTCTTTCATAGTGACTTTGACCTATATGTGCCTCCATTTCAGATAAATTGTTCAAAGTTCTGGGGTTATGGGAGTTATTTCAGCTGAGGCCCATGTTAACTCCTGGCTCAGTGGAAGATCAAGGTCCCAATTGTTAATGAATGGCCTTTATTTGAATATTGACATTTTAATATGTTGTACAACCCCAAATCAGAAAAAGGTGGGCGGTATGTAAAATCAAAATTAAAACATAAAATAGTGATGTGTAAATCATCTGTGTCCTATATAACATTGAAAACAATATCGCAGCATATTATTTGATGTGATACCTCATCAACTTTATTCTTTGTTCAAAATAAACACTCACTTCAGTTATGATACAGGACAGATGAGTTACAATTTAGATTTTACATACCATCCCAATTTTTTCTGGTTTGGGGTTGTATAAATAATTGCATGTGAGAATGAGTTAAGTTTTTGGGCTTAAGAAGAAACAATGACCTTTAACTGCACATATGTTTTAGCTGAGATAATTGATTTGATTGATTTTTGATTTGATTTATTCTTTCAAGCATGTAGAAACAGTTGATATGACAACACACATAATTTTACACATAATCCAATATCAATTTGCTTATACCTAGTACATGCTTGAATGGAGTAGGAAGAAGTCAGACTTATCCAGTCCTACCCCATGACATCATCTTACCATCATTGGTTTGCAAGCAGTAAATGATTCACTTCTACCACACAAGTATTATACTAAAAAAGATTATACAGTGTTAACATTCTTACATAATTACATTCTTTCTACACCACACAAGTAATATACAAAAAAATTATTACAAAGTGTAATTCTGAAGATATACAAGGCTATAGCAACAAAACACCACTGACTTAATTAGAATGACTGATGTTTTCATAGAGCTTATTCTAAAAGATGAATTATGATGATATATGAGTAAACAAAATCATTACTGCTCTGGAAAGAATAGGTAGGAAGCGGCATTCAATGTTTGTTTCACCTGATTTTCAGTCAGACTGGTTCAAACTAATGTTTTAGTTTACTGCAGTCAACACATTAAAAATTGGAAAACATTTAAGCCATATGACAAAACTGCCAGACAGTATCTAATCTTATCATTCAGTATATCAGCATTTTATCTCCCAGCTGTCAAAATGCTGATGTTTGTGCAGTATGAGTGACATGAGAAGCTACATATGTACCCCAGTGGGTACCTTCAGGGGCACACTGACCAACAGCAAAGAGCACAGGGCTGGCGCCTTCACAGCGTCGTGGGCGTGTTCGGCTGTTGCTGAGGACTCCCCTCTGCTCAGGCATGAGGTGGTACTTGAGAGCCTCGATCAGCAGGTCCTTGCACTCCGAGTGGTGCCGTACCAGCAGTTCTGTATCCACATTGCTCATCAGAAAGTCTCGCTTCAGCAGTGGCAGCCGTACGCACTTCATCAGCTGACAGGGACAGAGGGAGTTTGGGTGGGTGGGTTGAGGCCAGAAAGGGAAAATTGAGTTAATACAGTATATACAGTGCTGAGAAATTATGTCAGGTGAGATGGTCTTACCCAAGGTACATGTTGCCTACGTCCATCTATATCATGTTTCACCCAGCTCAACACAGCCCGGTACACTTCCTCTTCTGATGGCACATTGAGATTGTCACTCGAGATCAGATCCAGGACCTGGAGGAGAGGACAATGCAGATGCAGTGCATTTAATTTACCTGTGACAATAGCACTTGCAGGAGCACTTGGCGGTGAAAGATATTTCCCAGTTACTCTTAACCAGTGAGACTCAGAGAGACGAGGCGGTCCAAGTGGATATAAAAAACTGTGCTGGTTTATTCAAAGGCTCACAGGTAAAATTAACATTACACGCTCAGGTATCCTTCACCTCCAATGCTGCGCGCAGGCAGATGAAGAATGAAAGACCCCGAACCCAACAGGCCTGTACATTATATCTGGTTTGGGCTAACCCCATTCTACACAGGCACGTCAAACCGTGGCGTCACCTGATATGCCAGCTTTACAGCTGACCGTAGCAGTAGTCAAAACATGGAGAAAATCAATGTGTGTGAGTGTTGATTAAGTGGTGTGTATCTAAGAACATACAGGACATTCAGGGACATGTCCGGACATTAAGCCTAGGAAGATATTATGATTAAGATTACGGCTGAACATATCATACAGTAGTCACTTTCTATCTAGTTATCCTTGCCCATGTACACCCTGCTAAAATCTCATGACAATGACTAAGCATTTAAACAGTCTAACTAGACATCCTGTCTCCACTAAACATTTCTAATACAACAAGTACCTAATCAATATCTATCTGACTAAAAAAATACCTAACAGCGGTAACAGTGAAAGCTTCCTGACCAAACATGGCAACAAACAGGAAGTAAACTACACTGGCCACAGGCAGCACTACTTCCTGCATGCTGTACCTGACTTTTGCCTCTCTTCCTTCTTCCTCTCCTCTCACTCCCTCGTTCTGCTGTACTTTAGCGCTGTGTTTTGTCTGCATTGTTTTAAAGTGACATTCATCAAATTAATAGAATGAAGAATACTAAATAAAGCAAAACAAAACCGTTTTAGGCATCATTTCCAGTTTTCACACCACCACACATAATGCTTACGTGTTACATCAAGGTCTCTATGCGAGTAGTGGTAGTATGATATACTTAAGTTACCACTGTGTGTCTGTGTGTGTGTGTCTGGCACAACAAGTGCTGCAGTCTGAGTGTCTGGCTGGCACTGTTCCCAGATCAAGCCAAAGCTGGCAGGGCTGGGGGGGGCCACAGCAGGCGGGTGCTGCTGGTGGCATTTTTT